CAGGGGGAGCACTGGGGTGTGCTGGGAGACACTGGGAGGGGCAGTAGGACATATCGGGAAAAACTGGGGTGGACTCAGAGGCACTGAGGTGGACTGGGAGCCACTGAAGTGGGAATGAGACATACCAGGGGTGCTGGGATGGACTGGGAGAGTAGCAGCTGGAGGCACCTGGACACAGTGGGGTGAACTGGTTACTGGGACATACTGGGAGACAGCAGGGTACACTGGGATGGGACTTCGGTGTGATGCTCCGTGAGTCACCGGGGGGCAGCAGGGCACAGTGGGAAGCGGGGAGGTGCAATGGGAGGTACTGCAGACACCAACAGCGTGGGAACTCGGGAAGGCACTGGGGGGCACTGGGACGGGACAGTGGGAGAGGGTAGGAGGCATCAAGAGGCCGCCGGAGTCACCAGAGAACAGTGCTGGGAGGCACCAAGGCCGCCGCCGGCTGAGAAGGCTCCGGAGAACGGCCGGGAGGCACCGGGGACACCGGGCCCAGAGCCATGCCCCCGCCTCCCCGGCGCCGGGGCCCGGCCCTCACCTGCTGCACCTGCCGCGCCAGGGCCACCAGGTCGTCGGGGTCCCCGACGCGGGCGGCGCGGCCGGCGCTGCCCTCCACCAGGGCCAGGGCCAGCCCAGGGCCGGCGCCGCCATGCCCGGGCTCCGCGCCTCCCTCCGCCATCGCCGACCGCGCCCGACCACTTCCGCCCGCTTCCCGCTGTGGCGTCACCGCGCGCGGCGAGGGGGCGGGACCGCGGCTGAGTCGCTGAGGCCTCTGATTGGGCAGTGTGCGCGGAGGGGGCGTGGTGTGGCGGAGGGGGCGGGGCCTAGGCCGCGCGCTGCGGCCTCTGATTGGGTGATGGCCACGGAGAGGAGTGGCGGAGGGGCGGGGCTTGTATCGCTGCGGTGCGGCGACTCGGCCAGGGCTCAGACATGGCGCTGCCGCCGCCGTTGCCGGTCATGGAGCTGCTGCTGCTGCTGCCGCTGGCGCTGCTGGCGGGAGCCGCCACGCCACCGGAGCCGCTCCCGCTCCCTGTCCCGGCCGACCCGCCGCTGCCGGCCCAGCCGCCGGACGCCCTGTTCGCCGCCGGCGCCGAGGCGTACGCGCGGGGGGACTGGCCGGCCGTGGTGCTGCAGATGGAGCGGGCGCTGCGGGCGCGGGCCGCCCTGCGCTCCCGCCTGGCGCGGTGCCGCCTGCGCTGCGCCAACGCCACGGCGGGGCCGCCGGAGGACGAGGAGGAGGGCGCCGAGCCCCAGCACGACCCGGTTCTCCGGGACCTGCGGTTCTTCCGGGGGCTTCTCCGCCGCGCAGCCTGCCTGCGGGGCTGCGGGCCCGCCGCGCCCTCCCGATACCGCCTGAGCGAGGAGCTGGAGCGCGAGTTCGGCCGGCGCAGCCCCTACAACTACCTGCAGGTCGCCTATTTCAAGGTGCGGGACCGGCAGGGAGAGAGGGAGGGAGGGAAGGGAGGAGTTCCCGGTGCGGCGGGATGCGGGACGGGCGGGATACGCGGAGGATGCCGGAGCCGGGCGGGGGGGATGGAGGGATGGGATCGAGAGAACCGGGCGGGGACGATCGCGGTGCCGGGACGCCGGAGATGGGTTCGGTGTGTGCCCCGGCGGGATGGCCGTGCCCTGCCCCCCTCAGTGCCACGTCGGAGCTCGCCGGGGCCGCCCCCGTCACCGCCCCCTACCCCGGCCGCCGGGATGCCCCGGGATGCCCCGGGATGCTCCGGGATGCTCCGGGATGTCCCAGGGGCCGGGGGTCCCCTCCTCTCCGCGTGGGATCTGCACTGTCTCACCCCCCTCATCCCACCCAGATGAACCGGCCGGCGCAGGCGGCAGCGGCCGCTCACACCTTCTTCGTGGCCAATCCCGGGCACCAGGAGATGAGGCAGAACCTGGAGTACTACCAGGCTATGGTGGGGGTCCGCGAGGAGGACTTCACCGACCTGGAGGCCAAACCCCACCTGGTGAGACCCCCCCCTCCCCTTCCAAAGTCCTTGTGTGGTGACTGTGGTGCTGCGAGGTCCCTCCCCATGGGGACGAGGTAGCCCAGGTGATCCATCACGGGGATGGAACCCCCATGTTGAGCCCCCCTCATCATTCCTCATCCCTCTGCAGAGTGAGTTTCGGCTGGGGGTCCGGTTTTACTCGGAGGAGCAGCCGGCTGCCGCCATCCTGCACCTGGAGAAGGCCCTGGAGGAGTATTTCGTGGCAGACGCCGAGTGCCGCGCGCTCTGCGAGGGACCCTACGACTACGAGGGCTACAACTACCTGGAGTACAATGCAGACCTTTTCCAGGCCATCACAGGTGCGATCTCTGCCTGCTGTGTCCTGTCACAAGAGTTGGGGACAGTTCTCGGTGGGCAGTTGGTTCCCAAAGACCTGAGGGGTGGTGGGTCCCTGAAGAGGGCAAACGCCATCGTAGGTTTTACTTGGAGAAGTGTGGCCAGTAAGTGGCAGGAGGTGTTTGCCTGCACTCAGCACTCGGGGTGATGCTCAAGAATCCTCCAAATTCCAGAGGAATATGGAAAATCAGGAGAGGGACCAGCAGAGGGTCACCAGGATGGGAGGCCAGAGATGGCCACTCTGTCCCCAGAGAGCAGCACAGCCCCCCCCCCCATCACTTAGAGGTGGACAACCAACCACCAAAAATCTGGCAAACAGCCCCAGTGCGAGCAGAAGGTTGGAGACCCCTCAGGGTCCTGCCCACCAGCCTGTGGGTGACCATGAGCAGTGACATGGGTTTTTTTTTCTCCACCAGACCACTCCATGCAGGTGCTAAGCTGCAAGCAGGGCTGTGTCACAGAGCTGGCCTCACAGCCCGGCCGGGAGAAGCCTCTGGAGGATTTCCTGCCCTCGCACTTCAACTACCTGCAGTTTGCCTACTACAACAGTAAGCAGCTTCTGTGGGCTGTCAGGGCTGGGCACCCAGCTCTGGGCAGGCTGAAATCATGGATCCACAGAGTGGTTGGGTTGGGAAGGGACCTTCAAAGATCGTCTCCTCAGTCCAGCCCAAGATGCAGCGACATCTTGGCATTGGTCACTCCGAGGTCTCTCACTGCCCCATCCAGCTTGCCTTGGAACATTTCCAGGGATGGGGCAGCCACAGCTTGTCTGTGCAGCCTGTGCCAGTGCCTCACCTGCCTCATCATAAAAAATTTCCTCCTTATGGCCAACCTAACCCTGCCCTCCTTCAGTTTAAGACCGTTGCTCCTTGTCCTGTCACTAAAAGCCTTGGTAAAAGTTGTCCTCATATCTCTTGTAGCCCCTTCTAGATATGGGAAGGCCATAAGATCTCCCAGGAGCCTTCCCATCTCCAGGTTCAACAACCTAAATTTTTTCAGCCTTTCTTCCTAGATATGCTCGTCCTCTAACCATTTTTGTGGCCTCCTTTGGACCCACTCAAAGGGGTCCACTCACACCCTTCTTGTGCTGGGGACCCCAGAGCTGGAGGCAGCACTGCAGGGGAGGTCTCATCAGAGAGGGGCAGAATCCCCCCCTCACCTGCTGCCCACAATGCAGCCCAGGACTTGAGGGGTTTCTGGGCTACCGTGGCCAGGTCCTGTCCAATTTTTCATCCACCAGTTTCTCCAAGCCCTTCACAGGCTGCTCTAATCCCACTCACGCCCCTGTCTTCACTCATAGTGGTGGAGAAGCTTCCACCAGACCTTGTTGTACTTTGTGAGGTTCACACAGGCATGCTCCTCCTGCCTGAAATGTTCTGCTGGACATTTGGATCAGTCACCCTCCACATCACTTTATTCCCGGGCAGTTTTGCTTTCCAAGTGAAATAACAGCCTGGAGAAGTATTTTTTTCCCTCCTGCCTGCTGTCTACCTCTTGCTTCAAACCACAGTGGTGTGCTTCCCTGCCAGAAGAGTCATAACCCAGGCAAATACATCTGATTTTATTTCACTTTTTAATTCGCCCCCTTAGAAAAATTAAACTGTTTCTGTGCAAATTTCTTCAAAGGGAGGGGAAAAAAAATATGGCATCCAAGAAGATGGAAATCCTCGAGAAGAGACAGCTGAGAGGGGACTTCATCCATGTCTGTCAGTATCTGCAGGGTGGGTGTCAGAGGATGGACCAGGCTCTGCTCGGTGGTGCTGAGCAATAGGACAAGAGGCAGCGGGCAGGAACTGATGCACAGGAATTTTCACCTGGATATGAGGAAGAACTTCACTGTGCAGGTGACCACGTGCTGGGACAGATTGCCCAGAGAGGGTGTGGGGTCTCCCTCACTGGAGATAATTCCAGAACCATCTGGATGCAATCCTGTGCCAGGATGCTGAAGCAGGGAGGTTGGACCAGATGACCCAGTGTGGTCCCTTCCTTTCCTTCCCCAGTTTGTGACTGTGTGATTCTGTGAAAGGCTGCACAGAAGTGGGGCAGGGTGCTTCAGTGGCTGGAAATTGCAGGTTAGCGAGGAATGGTTGGGTCTGACTGCCTGGAAATGGGGCCTCAGGAATTTTTCCAAGCAAGAAAAGTACTCAACCTGTGACCCTGGTTTCTGGAGGCAGGAGAGCACCTTGGATTCTGAATTTTGCCTTTGTGGCAGCAGTTATCCTTGCTCCAGGGGATCTGCCCTGCTTGTGAGACTCTTTGCAGGACAACAAGGATTTTGTCTCTCATCTCTCTTTCCATATCCGTGTTTGCTCTGCCTCCAGTGCCCTTGGACATGCTGCTAAACAGCCCCACTTTCTCTTTGCAGATGGGAATTATGAAAAAGCCATCGAATGTGCCAAAACCTATTTGCTCTTCTTCCCACATGATGAGGTGATGAACCAGAATTTGGCCTATTACACCGCTGTCCTGGGGGAAAACCTGGCGGGACCCATCCAACCCCGAGAGGTGAGCAATCAGCTGAGACATCCTCTCTCCTCCTAGGGGACCTTTGCAGAAGTTTTGGGGTCTTGTCTGGTCCAGCCACCCAAGGTGGACAGTAATGGATGGTTTTAGGGTTCAACAAGCTGGAAAATAGCTGAGAGACTGAAAATCATCACTGGCAAAATATCTGGATGATTGGCACACATGGACCCACTCCTCAGGGAGAGGCAGGTGGACAGACCTTTTAGGAGGGTCTGAGCACACCTCTGCTGCACTCTTCCACAACTGAAGTGAAATTGCTTAAGAAGGAGAGGATTTGGCTTCAAAATAGCTGGATCTGGATGACCAGTTCCTGCCTGGGATGTGGTAGGCAGGAATGGAGGTCTCTGCCCCACACCAGCTGGAGTAGGGAAGGGGATCTGCTCCTAAAGAGCTTCCTGCAGGAGGGACATGTGTGTGCCTCTGCTGGACTGTCCTCTCCCCAGGAGTCATCCACACAGGACAGGGAAATTCAGGCAGGATGGGGAAAGCCACTTCCTTCCCAGCTGCCAGCGGGAACAGGAAACCAGGGCTATAGGTCTGGAGCAAGGACCCCAGGAATGGTGTAAACCTGCACCTTCCTGCCCGTACTCAGGGTCCTTTAGAGCCCTCGTGCTGTACCTCACCCCTTCCCTGTGCCCCCTTGCCACAGGAGATCCGGGTGTACCGCCAGCAGAGCCTGATGGAGAAGGAGCTGCTCTTCTTCAGCTACGATGTCTTCGGCATCCCTTTCGTGGACCCGGTGGGTGGTGTGAGACCAAGGGGACATGGTGGCCAGGTGGAATGTGGATGAGGGGGTCTGCATCCTGGCCAG